GGGTATTTAATCTGTTAACAATAACTCCCTGTATCATGCAATAAAAAAATCCAGTGTATAGGGCATACATGATTTATGACATAATGTGGCTTCAGGGTAAGTAATTGTTACGAATTCCACAATAAAAGGAGGCAAGGGCAGATCAAAAGAAGATGCCACTTGGACGCTTTACTGAGCTAATAAGTAGAAAATACAAGCGTGGCAAATTACAAAGGGAACAGACTGGAACAGTAGTTAGGAAGCCCGAGTCAAACGATTTAAGTCAGACAGTTACAACCTGCGGTCAGCGAAAGTACAGGGCTTCAAAACCGGGTGGGAAAGCTCATTTGCAATTTCACTAAGGGGCGAGGACTGCGCAAGCCTGGGTCTGTCTCTGCTCGAGAAACTACTCGAGAATAGGGGGAGGGTGTCCCTAATAAAGAGCTCTAGTTGCGTTCCATATTTCTCAGCATAAACAGCAGGCGTACCAAGCTGTTACAAAAGTTTGTCAGATGTCTGCCTTTTTCAAAGAACCAGCAACATACGATCGAAAACTAAGTTGGTTCGTCTCTGGTTTTCTTTGGTAGGCCAGAACAGGGGACGGATGAGAGCGCTGGGCTCAGAAAAATGGGAACGCTAGAATACTTTCGTTGAAATTCTGGGTTGCAAATGCATTTTGAACAAAAAACCAGAATACACAAACGGTCCCCTTCTCCCTTTCCATTGATCTGTCAACGTACGTAGCCACATAGCTACCGTAACTTCGTATCTTGAACTTACACGGATCATATTAAATAGCTAATTAAATTACAAATACGTTTTTACATTAAATTAAATGTAACGGAGGTTTTTTTATTTCACGTAAAGTATTGCGCAATCGACTATGCGCTCCTGTCAATTACAGCATGCAGCGCGCTAACATAGCTATAGCATCCGGACACCAACCGAAGTGCAGCTGGGAAGTCTTTAATATCATTGGTTCAGAGCATCACAATGTGTTACGTCATCTCTATACGCAGGACCCCGAGCAGATATGGTAGGCCGAGCACATCTGGTACCTACACCATCCTTAACAGTACAAAACACTTAACGTTATTAATATAAGAAAGCACAATAATTTAAACAGAGCAATATAGACAGACAAATTAACGTACTAATAACATTAAAGGTGCTTCAGTGACATTTACACACCTGCAAGAATAAATGACAAAAATCGGAGGCAATTTTATCCTGATAAAAATAATTTATAACTTAATAACTAATATTAAGTTATAAAACTGCAATCCAAATGTTTTATTTTCATAAGCTGCACAATAACGGAAGAAAATGGCAATAAGAAAGAAGAGGTTCCTCATCATGTTAAATAGTGGTTGGAAACCCCCCCAGGCTTACAGAAATGATTTAACCCTACTGCTCAGGAGCCAATGGGAACTTAGGACTCTCAGCCGTTCAAACTGGACAAGTGGCCAAGGGCTCACAATCACGCGTGAAATTGGCGTCGACAACGCGTTGCTAACGTGTTCTCCACGTGTTGTTAACGTGTTGTCTACGTGTTGTTAACGTGTTGTTTACGTGTTAGAATTCACGTGTATTTGACCTGGACGGCGTTCCACAGAAGTCCGGCTGCGACAGGCTGCGAGGCAGACACGGGACATCGCATGCGTCCCATAGATAGCTACAGTCGGCAACAATGGGAACGCCCACAAACGTCTCATCTGGTTAGAGCCGAGGGGGAAACAATCCTTCACCCCCGTCCGCTATACTGTAAAAACGCGGAATTTAAACTTGTCTTGCTCACGCTAAGAAGCTGTCATGACGTACTTTGAGTCGCTACTGCCTGCTGGCAAGGATCGATATATTAAAAAATTAAATATATTGAGGTCGGATTGTTGTCCATACGTTTTAAAAGACTGGGCGAATGATCCGACTCAGTGGCCTGCAGACATACACGTTCTGTTGTGGGGTCCTGCCAAAATCTGCCAAACTCGTCCTCTCTTCTGATAGCTTGAAGTCGTTTTGTCCTCCTTTGTGGTTCCATTTCATTATTTGGTAAAATGTAAAACTTTAATTGGTGATTTTTTTGTTTATTTGCGGTGCAAAAGGGCACACAGCAACTCTTCGGCATTTTGGCTAATGGCAGAGACCGGTTTGTTTTCCTCCTTGGCTCTACTTTTGTGGGCGTTCCCTTTGTTGCCGACTGTATCTATGGTGCGTCCTCAGTGTTTCCATATCAACGGCTGAACTTCGCTATTCATCTGTTATTATTATGAAATTATGTTGAAACTCCGTACAAATGTCGCATGAAAATCACTACTCTGTTATAATCTTGTAATAAATGTAAGCGTGTGATACACAGGAACACTTCTGATATACAGAAATCACAAAGTTATCGTGGCATTACAAAGCTTAGATCATAATTTAAAGCGGCAGTAGGCTTTTGATTCACTGAAAATGGTAAATACATGTATGTTGCTGCAGAAACCTCGGCTCTGCTCTGAACAGGGCAATACATACACATTGCTTCAAAGCCAAAGGTACTCATTTGTTAACCAAATAAAGTGGGGAAATCCCTCTGAACTATTGGGAATTCCTCGTGCGATTCATGTGCGCTGGAGCTGGTATCGCTCCCTGGTCCGATCGGAAAAATACGCATGCGGCTCCGCTCCAGGAGCCGGGTGAAAATCGCATGGATGGAAACACTTCATATAAAGACAATGATATGCGATTTTTTACGTACCCGTGTCTGCACCGGCGCCTGACTTCAGCCGTATAAATGGAAACATAGCTTTACTCAGTTCGCCGAATACACAGTGCACAGGGAGGTCGTCGATCAGTCCCAGACAGCAAGCACCTCCGCTCCGGATCTGCGCCAGCTCTGTGCCGGATCAGCTGGAGTCGGCACAGAACTGGCGCAGATCCGGAGCAGAGGTGCTTGCTATCTGGGGTCGAGAAGAATGCAATAATTGGTCGTTGGTCGTGTTTGTCACACAGTCAAGAAGCGGCATTGTTAGGGTCGTGTATTTTAGGCAAAATTCGTGTGGGTTGTGAACGGGGCGGAAGCTGGTAGTGAAATGTGACAATCATCACTACTCTGTTATCATCTTGTAACAAATTTAAGCGTGTGATACACAGGAACACTTCTGATATATGGAAACCACAAAGGTATCGTGGCATTACAAAGCTTAGATCAAAATTTAAAGTGGCAGTAGGCTTTTGATTCACTGAAAATGGTAAATACATGTATGTTGCTGCAGAAACCTCGGCTCTGCTCTGAACAGGGCAATACATACACATTGCTTCAAAGGTACTCATTTGTTAACCAAATAAAGTGGGGAAACCCCTCTGAACTATTGGGAATTCCTCGTGCGATTCGTGTGCGCCGGAGCTGGAATCGCTCCCTGGTCCAATCGGAAAAATACGCATGCGGCTCCGCTCCAGGAGCCGGGTGAAAATTGCATGGATGGAAACGCTTCATATAAAGACAATGATATGCGATTTTTGACGCACCCGTGTCTGCACCGGCGCCTGACTTCAGCCGTATAAATGGAAACATAGCTTTAATCAGTTCGCCGCATACACAGTGCACAGGGAGGTCGTTGAGAAGAACGCAAGTATTGGTCGTTGGTCGTGTTTGTCACACAGTCAAGAAGCAGCAGTGTTAGGGTCGTGTATTTTAGGCAAAATTCGTGTGGGTCGTGAACGGGGCGGAAGCTGGTATGGAAAATCCAGACCTAATTACGACCTAATTTCCGCCTGACGACTCAAAACCGCTTGCCTTCAGACTTCAGCTCTGAATTCAGTCGTTTCTTGCTCACCACTGGAAACCGACCACGGTCGTCTTGACATCACGTAATGTTGCCAAGACTACTGAAATAAATGGAAGGACAGGAGGCTGGGCACTGCAGCTTGGGGGCAAGAGTACCACACACAACCTCCACTTTTTTGGGGTTTTTTTTTTTTTTTTTCGGCCAGAACGATTTTAAAAGGGGGCACAAATATTTTTGGGGGTTTTTTTATGAGTGAGAAGGGGATTTATATTCATAGGAGAACGATTTTAAAAGGAAGTGGCAGATGCGGCGCGAGAAAAAATATTCTGCGGTAATTCCTGTCTCCACATCTTTACTCCTCCCTCGCGTCACTACCTCTGTTTACTATCTCTTCAACTTTTTATGTCCTTTTTTCACCCTTGTTTTTTTTCTTCCTTTGATAAAGCTGTGAATAAAGATTTGCATGTTAAGTTAGACATTACATTAGTGTCTGTGGCAGGATATGAACCTGGAAACCCGTGAACAATGCAAAGCATCACACACTGAAGTCTTAACCAGTAGACCAACTGAGTTTATTTGTAGCTAGGCGCACCAGTTTATATTTATCGCTGAAGGGTAAAAGACAACCAACAGTATAACGTTCTATAAATAATATTAATTTTCCTTTTTATTTATTTATTGTTATCAATGAGGAGACGTCATGTGAATATCCATTTTGACGTATTTAATGCTGGTGAGCTGGCTGATCCGTTGACCCTGGGTAGAATAATTTGAGCCGAACACATCATTGTTTGTGTACAAGTTGGGTTAAGGTTAGGGTTAGGGACAAGGATAGGGAGAGGGATAGGATTACCTATGAGTTAGGTTAAGGTTAGGGTCAGGGATAGGGATAGTTTAATTTGTTTGATAAGCGTGAGCGCGAGTGTACCGTGCTCGGGCACGATGTATGTGAACGGTCTGATTGGAAGAGGTGGACTCGGGCACGATCCATCCATACTCGTATCAAATGTGAAAGCAACTGTACTTCAGCACGGCAGATTACCGCTATATGTCACGGCTGTCTTGTTCTAACAAATGCAGCGGCGAAAAGATATCTCCCTTCAAACGGATAAATTCAATGCTTGCTCGAAATGTAGGCGGACGAAAACACACTGGGTACTACGCACAAAAACTCCGAAATCCTTTGGAATTATTTGTGAGTAAAATACATTCGCATAGTCATCACAGAACAACATGATGCAGGCCGAAGGGAAGGGATTCAGAAGGGAATCGAACCCTAGACTCACCAGTGCGAAACATACGCGCTAACCACATCGCCACTCAGCCATTCAAAAATGAGGAGGTGCCGTGACAAATTAAAGAAAACTAGCCGATACATGTGTGAAAGAGGTCAAGGAAGCCAGCCAAATCCCATCCTCCGCGAGCACTGTGGAAGCAGAAACTAGGGACCAGAAAGATATGATGACTCCAAGTGACCCAACGTACAACGACGACCATTATTTGAGCAGCTTACGACTTGGGCAACAGTGAATCGGTATTCGGTGTGAAAGAGGTCAACGCAAGTTCTTCAGCTAACCTTGACAGTCGTGTTTTGGTAGTTACAAGAGTTGTGAATGGGCCATGCGAAATAAACGACTCCAGTCAGACACAATTTCGCTCCAAGCCAGTCTAATCCCATCCTCCCAGAGCACTGTGATACAAGGTTACTGCACTATCCACCGTCAAAATTAGCAATTAAGCCCTTTATACGCTATGCCCACTACAAGGCAAATTAGGCTACCCAAAGGTCAAGTTTAGAAAAGAAATAAGGCTGAAAGGGCAACTTAAGAAACATGGAGCATTAAGTTTGGTGATTAGCATTATTAGCTAGGAATACTCAACAATGTACCATGCTAAAGGATGTGGCACTTCGTATTACAAGGACAAATCTGGAAGCTAAACCATAATTACAACATATTGCAGTCATACAAAGGAAACTTACTTGATAATGGACACACACAATAGCAAAACCGGAAAGTGCAAAATTGTACACGGAGAGCCACCACTCCATTGACGAACTTGCTGAACACTAGATTGACTGGGGAATCTGAATGCGGACAAGGAGGGCGGAGTCACGTTACCTCTAAGCATTACCATATGTGGGTGTATCTAGGCTATTCTACAGAAAATGCCTACAACGGCAGGAGAAATGCAACATAATTATGGCCTTTTTAACAATGCCGCCCCCAAATTTACCCGGTAAATTTGTCTAAATGGAAGGCCATAACACTCTCATCATCCTGTAAGAACAACAGGTTAGTCAATCTTATCATCTGGCAGAGCTACCAGACGAACTAATCTGGAAACAGGTCTGGTATATTCCCTGTCCTTCACTTGCACTGTTGCCGATCGGATCCTCCCGTCAGCTCCTTCAGCGGTGTGGGTCACCACACCCACCGGCCACAAGGCCCGTGGCAGTTGCTGGTCGACGATCATCACGACAGCTCTGGTCTGGATGTTGTCCGTTTCCTTGGTCCACTTTCCTCTGGTCTGAAGAGTTCGCAGGTACCTCCAGATAAAGTGAGACCAGAAATGGTCAGCTAGGACTTGACTGTGTCGCCAGCATTTCCTTGTCAGCATTTCAGAAGCGGGATAGACTACTTGAGGTAGTGATGCGTCGGGCTGCCCCATCAACAGGCTGTTAGGAGTCACTGGGTCCACATCAGCAACATCAAATGACACAGAGGCAAGTGGTTTCGAGTTCAGTATTCCTTTGATTTCTGTCAGGACTGTCCTCAACACTTCCTCTGTGACAGACTGACTGCCAAGTGTGACTTGGAGGGCTGCTTTCAAGGACCAAATCTCTCGCTCCCAGGTGCCCCCAAAATGAGGGGCCCCAGGGGGATTGAAGTGGAACTTGATTTGCTGCTTTGCAGGCAAGGACTGCAAATTGGGCTGTAGACCACAGAATGCCTCCTTCAGTTCCCTCTGGCCACTCCTGAAGTTTGTTCCCTGGTCAGCTATCAGCTCGTAGGGTTTCCCTTTCCGGGAGACGAACCGGCGGAGGGCCATCAAAAATAAATCGGTGTTAATGCTGTTTAGCAGGTCTAGGTAGACTCCTCTCGTAGTCAAATATTTAAAATTTATGCCCCACCTCTTGTCACTACGACGACCGATGCGAATGGTGAGGGGGCCGAAGCAGTCAGCCCCAGTGGAGTGGAACGCCGGCTTGAATAAGCGGAGGCGAGATGGGGGCAGGTCGGCCATTCGCGGAACCTCTGGTTTCCCGCGCCACTTCTGGCAGTGTGTGCAGTGGTGCTGATCTCGCTTTATGGCCTCCCGCCCTCTCAGAACCCAATACTTTCTGCGTAGCTCGGGGAAGACCTCTTCCACACCTGGGTGACGCAGATCTTCATCATACCACTTTATCAGGAGGGCAGTGAGAGGGTGTTTGGGGTCCAGGACTACAGGGTGTATTACGTCTTAGTCCAGTGCCTCTCCACGGCGCAGGCGTCCACCCACTCTCACTAGGTCGTCGGCATTCAGTTCAGGTGATAGGGTGAGGAGTCTGCTTGTAGAGGGCACTGGTTTCCCTGCTGATAGGGCTTTGACCTTTTCTGGAAAATATGAGGCTTGGGCATTTCTGCGGAGACTGATCTCAGCCTCTTTGTAGGTCTCAGCTGGAGGGTCGCCCTGCTGGTTAGCCGCCCCGTGTAGCCCCAGAGCTGTTGCCTCAAAAGCGTCTTGGAAGTTCTGGAACTGAGCACAGTCTGGCACATTGCTGTCTGTCACGATATGTGCATAGAACATCTGCTTCCTCTCTTCCTCACCGCTGTGGTCCGCGGCAATCTGGGGGGATGTGGGCCATGATTCAGGGTTCTGCTTCAAAAAGGCTGGGCCCTCGTTCCAGTGAGATGACTCTGCCAGCTGAAGGAGTGTCTTCCTGCGGGTAAGATCATCAGCAGGGTTAGTGTCTGATGGGACATATCGCCACATGTGGAGATCGATGAGCTCCTGGATTTCAGCAATCCAAGTGCCGACAAAAACTTTGTATCAGCACGAATCTGATGTAATCCAGGAAAACAAAGTGGATGAATCAGTCCTCATGTAAACATGGCAGATGTCCAAGGTGAGCTCATTTAGCAGTGTCCTGGCCAGCTCAGCTCCTGTGAGGATGGCACAGAGCTCTTGTCTGGGCATGGACAGCTGTCGCTTTGGTGCCACTCTGGAGCAGCCTGCAAGGAAGGCTACCTGTACTTGTCCAGTGGCATCCTCGGTTCGAAGGTTGCCCACAGACCCATCGGCCCGCTCAGAGGCATCGCAGAATATGTGGACATCCCTCACAGTGTTAGGGGCATCCAAGGCAGCAATAACATAACATCGGGGGATTTCTGTCCATACACTTGAGCTCACTTGCCCACGCTTCCCATGCTTGCAGAATGTCAGCTGGCAGGAGAGGGTCATCCCAACCTCTTTGTTTCTCTCAGAGCTTCTGGACAAGAAGCTTGGCTCTGGTGGTATATGGGATGATATATCCCAATGGATCATACCGGCTGGCTAGTATGCGATAAATGGTCAGCATGGTGGGGGGTGCCTGACTGTCCACTGGGCGACACTTGTAGGTCAGGGTATCAGTCAGGCAGTGCCACTGTGGACCCAGGGTTGACTCTTTGGCATCTGGCTGCTGATGGGAATGACAGAGTTCTGCCTTGGTGGATCGCTCTGCCACAGGGAGATGACTGATGACCTCAGGGTCATTACTGGCCCACTGTCGCAGAGAGAAACCCCCTTCTACCAGCAGCAATCTCAGCTTATCTGCTAAAGCCCTGGCTTCTTCCACTTTGTTACAACTCTGGAGCTAGTTGTCCACATAAAAGTGGTGCTCTTCTGCATTGCGCACATCGTCCTGTGGGTCACTGTGGTCAATGACATGCTTTTGTAAGGCAAATGTAGCACAACACGGACTGCACGTGGTGCCAAAGGGAAGGACGTTCCACTGATACACACTCACTGGAGAATCCCGGGCCATGTCTCGCCAGATGAACCTGAGGAGGGGTCTATCCTCAGGCTACAGGCGTACCTGATGGAACAGCCTTTTGATGTTACTGGCAAAAGCAACTGTGTGCTCCCAGAAGTGTAACAATACTCCAAGGAGAGTTGCACCAAGAGTGAGCCCTGCCAGTACACACTCATTCAGGTTGCCACCACAGTAGTGGAAAGAGGAGTTAAAAACTACTCGATGTTTCCCATTTTGGCAGACTAAATGATGTGGGATGTACCACGACTCGGGAGACTGACCCAGCACTTCTTTTGGCAGCCTGGTGACATATCCAGAGTCCTCCAGCTTCTGTATCTCCTCATTATACACCCTTGCCAGCTCTGGATCCCGTCCAAGGCATTTCTCAGTGCCTCGCAGCTGTGGTAAGACTGCTTGAGGTGGAGCATTTAACAGTAGCATGGATTTCTTCCGTAGCAGAGGTGTTGCATATCTGCGAATGCCGTCCACCTCCAATCTTATTGTCTTGGACTGTAGCAGCTTCACTGCTTCCTGGTCACTCCTTGAACGGATCACCTCCTTCTCACTGCGATAAGGGAGCATGTCAAGCTGCCACAGTTTCTCCACCTGCTCACGCAGCTTGAGAGAGGGAGACTTCACAGCCGTGAACAAGCATTGTTTAGGGGACAAGCGATGCTGGAGCAACTTTGTTCGCCCTTGTAATGTCCATCCCAGCTTTGTCTTTATAGCGGCAGGTCCCCCTGGTGGTCCTAGCCAGACTGGCTCTAAGGGAGTAATCAAGTGGGGATAATCTGATCTATTAATAGCAGGGGCTGGACATTGTCAAGGGGCTGGAGCGGGAGAGCTTGGAGGTGATGATACTTCTTCATAAGCTTGGCCATAGGATGGGTGTGCCTGGCAAGCCCTAACTGCTCTGCTGTAAATGCGCCCCCTATCTGGAATTTCCACTTAGGCTGAGAGGTAAGTGAGAGAGTAAAGGTGACGTTCGCTCCTGCTATGACTTGTGCATCATTCTTCACAGTCCTGAGAGAGAGATTCTCAGGCCATCCCACTAAGCCTAGATGTTTAGCTGCAGCATGCAGCATGCAGTAGGTGCTTTCGGATCCATCGTCCAGGATGGCATAAGTGGTCGGAGTGCATGGGCCATTACACAGGAGCACTTTCACTACTTTCAGCAGAACACTACTACTGTGGCCTGGTCGGTCAAGGTAAAGTATGCCTGTAGAGGTACTGTCCACTACTGTTGGTTGATCACCATCAGTCTAAGGTCTGGCATTAACCTCGTGGAGCGCTAACAAGTGCCTTTCTTTGCAGGTGGGACAAGTGGCCT